TATATATATATATATATATATATATATATATATATATATATATATATATATATATATATATATATATATATATATATATATATATATATATATATATCATTCGACGCGGCTTGACAAGGCGAATGCGATGGTACCACTGCCGTAGCTCTAGGACCATTTTTGTCGAAGTTATTTGCGAAAAACTAAAACCACATTTCGGGGTCGTTGACCTGACCTCTGACCTCAGGTCACCAAAACTATTTTTTTTTGTCGAGGTCAAACGCTACACAACCGTGCTCGTAATTTGTCTTTATCTCTAAAACTCTATTTTTAACAGCTATTTGAAGCTTGCGTCTGTGACGCCGAAGTTTGCCGTGCAGGGGTCTAGCAAAATGGACCTTGTGACGTCATCAAGGGGGCTAGGTCAAAATTTTTTACTTCAGAAGATGTCAAATTGATGGGAGAAAAGGTACTGAACGTTTCGCTTTCCTATCCCTAAGCGTTCGGGAGCTATCGCAAATATTCGCCAGGGGGGCGAAAAACGCCCCCCGGGCCCGCGAGGGTTATAGAACTCTATTAGAACATTAGATGTCCCAAATGTCAACTTTCTATCTTGATTTTTGACCCCCAAATTGTAAAATTAGCTCCAACATACATAGGGTATGGTGACGTCATAAGCATTTTCGTGAATTAGAGGCAATTCTGAACATCGCATGTGAAAACAAATGGCACCACTAGATTTCTTGGACAAAGCTCGTCTAGAAAAGTGCATTTTATGTCAAAAATAAAAAAGTTGAAAAATTGACTTTTTTCTTAGCCCTCGTTTAGTTATGTATCGTATAAACGATTTTTTATGCTTTCAATGCACACTTATCACCAGCACAGTGACTTGGGGTCACATATAACCATTACCATCGGATTCGGCGTGAAAAATAAGCCATAAAACATGTGTCGCATGCCCATCTAGCAGAAAGTGAAAACCGTGACATTTTGTGACCTGACCTGACCTTGACCCGTACTTAATATGACCCCTACACGCACATGGTACCTTCACTAGGTCTTTGAGGTCATTTTTGGTGAGTTTCGAGCAGCAGCTATCGATTTCGCTGTCCGTAAGCCTAATCATGCAAAACCCCAGAATTTGACCTTTGACCTGACCTTGACCCGAAACTTGACCTCAATCTTAAAATCTTAAGAAAACTTTGGGAAGGTCTCGTAAAGACCTTTCGAACGTCATCTCGCGGGGCTCGATACGACCATTGGTTCTCGAGATAACAGGGGGAGGTCGGATCCGACCCCCCCCCCCCCAAGGCTTTCGTGGGTACGGAAATAGCTCAGGCGGTGCCGGGTTAACTGTTTGACCTGACCTTGGCCTTGACCTATGGTCGACCAACCCCTATATGGATATGAAACTCGTATGCGGTATGGCACTTACATATATAGGATTATACATAGATACAGGGGCGCGGGAACTACTTTCAGACTGTGGGGGCACACCATGATAGAGATCAACCTAGGGTACCCCCAAATTTAGTTTTCTCGCCGGTTTTAGGCCACTTATTTTTCATCCCTTGGCTTTTTCAACAAAAAAGAAAACATTTGCAAAAAAAAGTGCGGTATTCCGTCTCAAAGTTGTGGGGGCACCCCCCCCCCCCCACGGCCAAAGAGATGGGGGGGGGGGCAAGCTGCCCCCACTGCTCCCCCGGTTCCCGCGCCCATGCATAGATACACAGTTTTGGCAGAGTTTTTGACGAGAGACGCCAAGCACCAGGTTCTAAAGTCCATTATATTACAAACCCAATTTTAGGTATTTGACCTGACCTTGACCCGACTTTTGACCTCGCAATTCGACTTAAACCCGCGCACCGACGGGGGTCTTTGCCAACTAAAAATCGACGGGGGGCGGATGACCGGTCCCCCCCCCCTGAGAATTCCAGAACGAAGCAAGATAGCGACAAGCGGTAAACGGCATGGGATACGCTCGGACAAGTTCTACAATTTTTACAAAGGTTATTTTCAGGTCAGGTCAAAGATGACGTCACAGGGGTCAAAAGTCAAAATGGCGGCGCTAGATATGGAGATTTTTCTCGAGTAACTTTCGAACTAGTCAAGATAGGAACAAACTAAGGGCATCATCGTGATCCTCTCGTCAATCCGTATCGAATGATATATACCTATGTTGATCTCGAAAGGTCAAGGTCAAAGGATGACCTCAGGTCACGTGACCTCGAGGTCATCATGTATATCATTCGATGCGCCTTGACGAGCTGAACACAATGAGACCATTCGCGCGACTGTATCTTGTTGTGTTGTATCTTGTTATTGTCTTAATAAATAATTTTGCCGTCCAGAAGCTCTAAATGAAGGCTTAGAGGAAAATAGATGCCATATTCGTGATCAGCGGGTACAAATCCATCATAAATGACCTCTCATGTGTCAAGGTCAACCAGAGGTCATTCGAGGTCACGTGAGGTCAACATAAAACTTGACTTTTTCCGAACAAAATATATATTATTCGACGCGGCTTGACAAGGCGAATCCGATGGTACCATTGCCGTAGCTCTAGGACCTTTTTTGTCGAAGTTATTAGCGAAAAACTAAAACCACATTTCGGGGTCGTTGACCTGACCTCTGAAATGAGGTCACCAAAAATATTTTTCTATTTCTCTCTAGGTCAAACGCTACACAGTCGTGCTCGTGATGTGTCTTTATCTCTAAAACTCTATTTTTAGCAGCTATTTGAAGTTAGCGTCTGTGACGCCGAAGTTTGCCGTGCAGGGGTCTAGAAAAATGGACCTTGAGACGTCATCAATGTGGCTAGGTCCAAATTTTTTACTTCAGAAGATGTCAAATTGATAGGAGAAAAGGTACTGAAAGTTTTGCTTTTCTATCCTTAACCCTCGCCCGTAAACGGTGTTTTGCCACCTTCGCCCATGCAGGGGGGGAGGGGGGTTGGTGCGACCCCCCCTGGCGTTTGAAAACGAAGCGTCGTAGAGCTTAGCGGAAAATACCAACAGATTGCTCTCAACGAGATCTCGCGATTGGTGGTATATTTTGTGGTCCTAGGGCAACATTTGACCTACTTATGACCGGTCAAAGGTGAAATTTTCGGAAAAATCCAACTTTTTTCAGATTTCCGCGCCGATTGCGGCAAAACGGTAAGAGATATCGACTTGAAACCTTCACTATCGTGATCCTTGATCAATTCTCTATCGTTTGGTGTGTATTTCGATATGTCATAACTCTAAAAATGATGCGTTGGGAGTATCGGAAGTCTGCAAGGTCATTTGTGCATTGGGTCACGTCAGGCGTGTGACGTCACTGACCTGACCCTGACCCAAAATGAACTACAAGAAACAACCGACGATGCCTGAAATGGATAGCAAATTCGAATTCAGGGCATCAAAATACCCCGAAAAGTCATACAGTGCAAAAAGTCATTACAGGTCAACCGAGGTCACTGACCTGACCTTGACCTATAGTAACCTTGAAAAGGTCAACGGACATTGTGCCAATGTCAAATCAGCCAGTTATGATTCTAAAACAATCCATCAGTGTGTCAGGTCAGTCGGCATTTATACCAATGTGAAGCAATCTCCAATTTAGCGTAAATCTGGCCGGAGGTTGTTCCTTTTATGACGTCATAACTCCGTGACCTGACATGACCTTGACCCAAAAAAATACCAAAAGTTGCGCAAAGAATGCCCCATAGGGTACTGAAAATTTGAGCAGGCTATCTGAAACGGTTCGGCGTGTAGCTAAGAAAAACCTCGGGGGGGGGGGGTGCACCAACCAGCCCCCCCCCCTACATGGGCGAGGGTTAACCCGCGCACCGACGGGGGGAGCGGATATCCGCCCCCCCCCCCCCTGAGGTTTTTCGCGGATAGCGGGAAAACCGCGGCGCGTAGCGCCGCGAAATTTGGTACGACTATTCTCTCATCAATTTTACACACGGTGTGCAAGTTTGAACCTCCTAACTTTTAAGGTCAGGTCACCAGGTCACTTTGAATGACCCAACCTCAAGTCACTTTTTTGCAACTTTGTCACCGTGCCAGAGCTACAGTAGATGTCGGAGGCCTTTGAAAGTCGCAGGATGTTATAAGGTCATTAGTAGCTCGGATTTGTCATTAGTAGCTCGGATTTGTATATCTCGGAATTTTGATGTCGGTGACCTAAGGGCAGGTCAATTTCTCGACCTCCCCATTATAAGTCAATGGGGGAAAAATCAACTCCCTGTTTTTACCACTAAAACGGGTCGGAATGGCCCCATATACCATACATGACTTCATATACGATCAACCTTCACTACCTTGAGGTCTGTTTTGCTGTTGGGCAGCTGTAAGGTCATGTGACGTCATCAAAGGTCACCAAAGGTTTTTTGCCAATAACTCCGTACAGGAACAAGATACAGCCGCGCGGATGGTCTCATTGTGTTCAGCTCGTCAAGACGCATCGAATGATATACATGATGACTTCGAGGTCACGTGACCTGAGGTCAACCTTTGACCTTGACCTTTCGAGGTCAACATATATATCATTCGATGCGGATTTACGAGAGGATCACGATGATGCCCTTAGTTTGTTCCTATCTTGACTAATTTGAAAGTTATTCGAGAAAAACTCTCCCCATATCTAGCGCCGCCATTTTGACTTTTTCGACCCCTGTGACGTCATCTTTGACCTGACCTGAAAATGATCTTAGTAAAAATTGTAGACCTTGTCCGTGCGTATCCGATGCCGTTTACCGCTTGTCGCTATCATGCTTCGTTCTCGAGATCTCAGGGGGGCGGTCATCCGCCCCCCCCCCCCCGTCGGTGCGAAGTTGGCGCAGACTCCCGTCGGTGCGCGGGTTAAGCGTTCGGGAGCTATCGCAAATATTCGCCAGGGGGGGGGGGCGAAAAACGCCCCCCCCCGGGCCCGCGAGGGTTAAACTTCTAATCAGAACAGAACCACGTGCAATACAGCGCAGCATGCAGTATTTTCTTCTTCCTAAAAGGTGTTGAAATTCTTCTTCTTTCTAGCTCGACTTCGGCGGTCCATTGATGGTCAGAACATGGTACGACCGTGACCGGTTCACGTTGATCGGTATCGCCACCAACCGCACCGGATGTGGCCAGCCTGGGGTGCCGGCGGTCTTCACCCGAGTCTACTCGTTCCTGGACTGGCTCCTGGACAACATGGAGGATGCCACTTACTGCTGAAGACTTAGTGATAAGAGCGCCCGTATGAAGGATTTCATTTGCCGTATTTTGGTCTTAGTGCACACTGCAGAGTTATAGCCGGCATAAATGGACACCGCTTTTGTTGTTGTTGTTGTTGTTTGCAGTATTGCCAGTCTTGAAAGCGATAGTCTGTTCAATATACACACAGTGGTCACTGGTCATAGGCCTATGGTGTTTTCGATGACTGGACCATTTTTGCCGACTGAGTTTAGCCGCCTTAGCGCGGAAACGGCTACGTGACGAGGAGCGGTAAAAACTATTTGATCACACCCCGTCGTTTCCATCCGATCAGGACAATCAAATCCTTCTCCTTCATATTCAATTCCCTGTAACGAGCTGGACGGGCAACTTCATCGCATGCTGGAATGCCCTTAAGAGCACACCCGTAGCCGGATGCAGTTAGTACCAGAGTGGGGGGAGGGGGGTACGCTCCGGCTTTTTTAGCATGACAAAAAGTGTGACAGACGTTTGTGGAGGATTGTCGACGAACTCTTGTTCCGTGAGCAGCATTTACGCGCTAGCGGAAAGTCGACCGATCAGCGCTCGGCAATACTCGGCGCTGATTGGTCCGGTGTTCGTGACGAAAAAGAGAGGGACCGCAAATACTCTTTAGTGAGGGGAAGGAGGCCCAATTTTTGCCCGAACAACACAAAATTGGGTGGAGCTTAGCCCGGCCGGGCCCGGGGGGTAATCCCAACCACCGCAGCCCGGGGGGGGGCGTTTTTCGCCCCCCCCCCCCTGTCTAACTCCGTAAATAAGAAAGCTACGGAAACAAAAGCGATACCAAACGACAGGTCCTTACGAGACGATTCTAAAGCACCTAAAATTTTTGACCTCAGGTCAATTTTCAAGGTCAGAGGTCAAGGTGAAAGGCAAAAACCGGCACATGTGTAGTGATCTCTAAGTAAGCCTTCTAGAGGACGGCAGGCGGCATCAAACCGGCAAAATTGGGTGTCAAACGAAAAAAGAGAATCTGAGGATTCCGAAAATATGCTCAAACTCAAAGGTCAAGGTCAAGGTCACGCTCAAAATTGACCTCAAACTTGGCACTTTTTCGCACATCTTGCGTGCTAACTTTCAAGATGTTTTGAAATGTTTTGAGGCTTATCAGTTCCCTATTTGTGGTTCCTCTTACGATACAAGGCTGCTCAAAGGTCAAGGTCACTGAAGAGTATCCCTGCTAGAGGCTATTTCACTAATTCAAGTTAGTAATAAAAAATAAGACAATTTTGCCATCCGGAAGCTCTAAATGAAGGCTTAGAGGAAAATAGATGCCAGATTCGTGATCAGCGGGTACAAATCCTTCATAAACGACCTTTCATGTGTCAAGGTCAACCAGAGGTCATTCGAGGTCACATGAGGTCAACATAAAATTTGACCTTTTCCGAACAAAATATATATCATTCGACGCGGCTTGACAAGGCGAATGCGATGGTACCACTGCCGTAGCTCTAGGACCATTTTTGTCGAAGTTATTTGCGAAAAACTAAAACCACATTTCGGGGTCGTTGACCTGACCTTTGACCTCAGGTCACCAAAACTATTTTTCTATTTTTCTCTAGGTCAAACGCTACACAAACGTGCTCGTAATTTGTCTTTATCTCTAAAACTCTATTTTTAGCAGCTATTTGAAGTTTGCGTCTGTGACGCCGAAGTTTGCCGTGCAGGGGTCTAGAAAAATGGACCTTGTGACGTCATCAAGGGGGCTAGGTCCAAATTTCTTACTTCAGAAGATGTCAAATTGATGGGAGAAAAGGTACTGAAAGTTTCGCTTTCCTATCCCTAAGCGTTCGGGAGCTATCGCAAATATTCGCCAAGGGGGCGAAAAACGCCCCCCCCCCGGGCCCGCGAGGGAAGGGGGGGGGCGGTTAGGGAAGGGTGGTTTCTGGGTCAAAAATCACCGCTGAATCCGAATCTGACCGGTGCGCATCTCTAACTAGTGTTGCACCACTTCCAGAGCACGTGCAACTGCGTGTTTCAGCTTTTTTGAAGGATTGCACCTTTCTAATTGATTACAGAGTAGCAATATTGATATTTGAAATATTGTTATGAGATTTTGTCCCTGGGCTAAAAACGCTTGGCGTAATTGAAAGCTGAAGTTTTGCAATTTTCGGGCAGCCGATGACGTCACTGTGACTTCATTTCTTTATAAGCTAATTGAAGAAGTCGTCTTGTCAATGAATCACTTCAACTTAACTTTTTCCTTGTCGTATGTCAAACATAGAAGAAAAAAATCATCAAACATGATCTATAAATATTTCCGGGTTCGATCATGCCGAAATCGTCTGACCGTCCCCGTGCTACATTATGCATGTTCGCGTGTGCTGTGTTTGGATGATTAATAAAAAAAACTCTCTCCGATTAGTTGTTTAGTAGGGTATATCGTCGAATTTTGATTTTTTTTTTATCGTCTTCACTACTAAATTTTATTGGTCCCTGGCATGTTTGAAGCCGTAGGATACCAATCAAAAAAATCTGGGACGAAAACCTAGCCTGCTGCGAGCGGTTGAACGGAAGCCTTTCGGGGCGGCGCCAGGCGTTGAAGTCTCCCCGTTAGTTACGCGCACACTAGCACCACGCGGCGGCTGGCGCCGTGCCGCCGCGTTCCCGGTCAGCCGTGTTTTAGCGTTCACTGACGGGTCGAGGTGATTATTCTAAGCTTTCCTAAGAAGCTTTCTGCCCCGCAGCTCATTATTGAGCAAGAATATCGCACAAACTGCATAGAACATTGACATGCAGGTTGTCGGCACATAGGAGAAGGGGATGTTTTGGTTAATGCCTCCTTTAATAGGAAGAGATTGTGGAAGAACAACACATTTCTCTTGGAAATTACTCATCCTCCTTCTTCTTACGTGCCTGCTTTAGTAATCGAAGTACCCCTATTGACTCTACGTTCTTGATTCGGCTGTCGATTTTATGCTTGGAATTCCGCTATATTATATTTTCTCGCTCAATGTCCCCTGAGCTATATTGAGGCGTCACGGGACAGCAATGCTCAGCTCACAACTGCAGAGAAAAAGTCAATGTGGTCATGCGTTTTGTATGCCAAAATGTGTGAGCCTTGGCGTGTACCAGCAGCCGTTGTCACCATTGTAATTTTCACGACTTTATTTTTATAAGGATGCAATTGCCCACTTCCCAGTTCCCAGACTGGGTTTGGAGATATAGTTTTACAGAAACATTTAGGAATGTCTGTAATGTAAGTTAAAAGCTAATACCGAAAGGAATCCACATATTTTCGAATTTCCTGTTTGCTGTATTGCTTAGTAAATGCCAGACGTCATGATGGCATGGTTGCGATTGATGGTATGCCGGGTGGCCAGGGTACGAACTCACGGTAAGTCAGCTTGGCCGGCAGGCATCAACCACAGGCACAATAGTCTTACACTGATATCGTCACCCTCAGTTATTCGTCACCATTCAGCAGCAGGCCCAGAGCTTCGGGCTTTGAACCGTAAGGCACAGGTGTAGGAGCAAGACATTGTGCCGATTCGAAGGGCTGGAAGGGCAGCATCGCGGGGGCTGGAATGCGCCTGAGCGGCTGAGACCATCCCATTGGGACGGGGGTGTTCTGGGTGCACTCAGCCGCTCATGCTGGGAAATGCATCCAATGGAGCTCTACCCCATCCCCACCCGTTTCGAATGATTAGGCTGACCTTTAGTCTAGAACAAAGAAGGATGATGGTTGGCTGGTCCCGAGGATAGAAAGGACAGGTAATGACATCATATAATGAATCGAAGACGGCCCCGGCCCGATCCTCTGATAGAGGCTCATCAACACGTATCTCGTTGTGGACCATTTCGTTTTCCTCCACCGTGGTGTTTGCACCGACCTCAACGGGTTGGAAGATTACGATGTTCAGAAACCATTAACCCGCGCCCTGGTGGGGTCTGTTTATAACGCGACCTGGTGGGGGGGGGGCTATTTTTTGCCCCCCCCCCCCCGTATCTCCGAAACTACTGGACGGATCCGCAAAATTCAAACGGCGTTCGAAAGGCCTGTCAAATTTGTCGAAGGAAACCAAATTTCATTGACCTCGGGGTCACCGATGACGTCACAGGTCAGGTCAAAGATGAAATGTTTCACCGTTCACGGGTCATCTAGGGAATGCGCTATAACACCGAAGAAAACGCATTTTGTCGAGAATCAGCGATAGGGCGTCAGTTGCCTAGTACATATATTGCTATAAGAGGTCACTGACATTACCAGGTCACAGGTCAGGTCACCAAGGGTCACAGGTCAGGTCACATGAACCTAACTTTAGGTACTAAGGTTGTGCGATGCATGTTTTATGGCCAATTTTTCATTTCCAACTCAATGGTGTTGGTTATAAGACTATCAGGTACGGCTTAGGCCACTTTCTGGTGGAGGTCAGGTCAAGGTCAGGTCAAAAAAGGTCAAATTTCAAAGTTGATATTTTTGCATAAAATGGGTATTGATTCGATGCAGCTCATCACGGGGAGTCTAATGGTGGTCTTTGTTTTGCGCTACGAGGTCTAGAATTGCAAAAAAATGAGTTTGAAAATTTGACGTCATCAATTTTGAACAGTTTTTTCGCTGTAACTTGGCCAAAAAAAGAGGTATCGATCTCAAATTTGGTATGTAGATAGAAGGCGGTAAGGACTATCACACATATTCCGTTTTTTTTCGAAATTCAAAAAACTTTTTGGATTTTTCGGCTATTATAATCAAAAAATCTATTTTTTGATTTTTGGGGGTCAAAATCCAAAAATTTCAAAATTCCGAGATAGCAGTTTTGTAGCCCTGTCAATTCTACAGCTTTTATGTCTTTATCGTTTTTCTGTATTTGCAAAGCTATAGGCCTGACAGCTCTTCCCGCGAAACCCTTTTTTGGGTCAAAAACGGCAGAACATGACGTCACTCTGACGTCATTTCCGGCCAACCTATCATAGCCTTTGGATAAATTTTTGGTCACAATGTGTAAAATTGATGTCCGGGAGGGTACTGAAAGTTTGGTGACGATCGGCGCAGCGGTTCTGGAGATATATCGAAAAGTCTGGAGGGGGGGCAAAAAATAGCCCCCCCCCACCAGGGCGCGGGTTAAGGTCGTGATTGTATATTCGTTGAGTTAGGTTAGCCTTTCCATTCTATGAAGACTACTTTATAATTATTGGATGATAGGATGAGGTTTTGACTGTGTTGAAC